CGTGGATCCTTCGGGCTGAGACACTAGCGTATCCGTAACGATGATGTGTGTAGACGAGTGCTAGGCGGCAACAATCTGATTAGTTCTGTGGAATAACAAACAACCTTGAACAAGTTGAGTTGGCTTGGACACGTGATGTGTAGACACAAGACAGCTGGCTCCACGATTTGGTATCATGAGTACTGAGAATAGAGAGCGAGAAGATAAAAATCTGTGGTGCTCCATCGTAGATGGATCGGGCACGCGCGGAATCACGTCGCTGATTCCTAGGCGGTGGCAGCATATTGCAGCTGCCCTACATCTTATCCAGGTGCGATTCGCTCCCATATACCTGTAGTGTGCAGAGTGGGCATTTAGAAATTTCTTAAATTCCGATACCGATTTCGCCTCGCCTAGCCTCTCCAGCAATTTGTTCCAATATTTCACCACTCGAAGCATAGTGGGTGAGCGATGTGCTTTAACTCCGGAACCACTAGTTTGTACCGGTGTCCGCGTGTGCTGTTTGGTGCGCGAACGTACAGCCGCGGCTTCCACATAGGGAAGTGGCCCCGGTGCGTCATAATGAGATCAAATCGAAGCCGACGATATGACAGGGTATAAACCCCCTAGTCTCCTGCATCGGTTCTCGTACGACATACCTCGTAAACTGAGCGGGTAGCTACATTCTGGACCCGTTCCAGTCTCTGCACCTCACCTATTGTGATCGAGCAATAGGTGGGTGAGCAATCTTTTCAGGCCAAGCGCAGAAACTGCGTCTAAGTGCCCAAAGCTGGCGTAGTCCGTTTGCGTACAGTCTGTTCGTGTTGTTGACAGACTGCAGATCACAGCGTGAGAGTACGCCTAAATACTTTACGGAACTAGTGGGATGGTCGACCAGGGTGTACGCGCGCTCATTATGGAACAATGGTATATGACGGGTAAAAAAGCATACACTTAACGAGTCCCGCAGGTTGGCAATAGAAATACTAACAAATTGGCAAACCACATAAGTGGTTGAAGTAAGGAGTGTCAGTGAGATAAAAGGTAGAAGTATAACAGTTTTAGGGGGATAAAGTGGTACGACGCAAAACTGGCTAAGAAATTGTTATCGTTGGTGATGGTAGCAAATAAAAATGGAGTACTCACCGGTTCGCACAGATTTACGACCGTGAATTTGGGGTATAAATCCAAAGAGGCTGGTCAGCCTAAATATATACAAGCGTTTTCGTTCATAAAACAAAGCGCAGGGCGCTCAGTGCGACGTCCAATCGTTTTTTAAACGTATCTAATGTGGGGGCACAAACTACTGAGTTTGGAAGGGCGTTCCAGGGCCCGCAGACCCGGAGGGAGAAATAGGTTCTCCGACAGTCTAGACGACTGTACTGTTGGCTCAGCTTTAAACTGTTACCGCGAAGGTTAGTGTTCGGGCTGAGCTTCAAGAGGTGGCGGCATACGTGACTGGGATCGCTCAATATCTGGTACACTAGTATGAGGTCTCCACGAAGTCGCCGGTACCGTCCGCTGAACACTCCGAGTATCTCCAGTCGTTCCTGGTAAGGAGTGTGGCGCAAGCCCTTGACGATTTTCGTTGCTCGACGCTGTGGGGTCTCAAGCGCTGCAAGGTCACGTTTTAGCCAGGGTTGCCAGGCCTGGATTGCATATTCGACGTGAGGACGCACGTAGGCATTCAGCATCAAAGAGAAGATGGATGGATCCAAAATTCCGAATGCTCTTCGCAGGAGTCCAACGTGCTGGTTGCCCCTTTTAGAAGCGGAATCTGACTGTTTGGAACACCCGAGGTCTTCCTGTACCAGCACACCCAAGTCGCGTTCCTGAGTGGTGGTCTTCAGATCGTGTGCCCCAAGCTTGTAGACGTGGACTTGTCGATGGCGGATATGAACAACGCGACATTTGTCCACATTAAACGGCAGGGCGTTTCTCACCGACCAATTCCAGGCCTCATTCAAGTCACGCTGTAGGACTTCATGGTCGTCCGATCGTTTTATCGCCCGCCAAACCTTGAGGTCGTCCGCGAAGAGTAAGAATTTCGACGTAATAACTCTTACTAGATCGTTAATGAAAAGCAGGAACAAACGAGGCCCAAGTACCGAACCCTGCGGTACGCCGCATCCCACTCGAATCGGATCGGAAAAGGATGATCGAACTCTAACTACTAACTGCCGTTCAGAGAGAAAGTTACCGATCCATCCTAACAACGGGTCTCCGATACCGTACTGTTGGAGTTTAATGAGCAGGATTCGATGATCCAGGCGATCGAAGGCTTTCGAAAAGTCCAAGAATGCAACATCGACTCCTGTTCCCTCATCGACAGTCTCGGTCCAGTTGTCACGAGCTATCAGCAGATTCGTCGTACATGAACGATGTTGACGAAACCCATGCTGTTCTGGCGCAATTATGCCGTAGTTTTCCAAGTATCCCATTAACGCATCTGCTATCACCGCTTCCATGACTTTGGCGATCACAGGCAGAAGCGTTACGGGGCGGTAATTGACAGGATCCGATCGACTTCCTGCTTTGTATATGGGCGTTATTACACCTTGTTTCCACCTCGAAGGTACGATGTTCTCATCGAAACAGCGCTGAAAAAATGCAGCTAGTGGTTCGGCCAGTGGATGGCAGCTACCTGTAATGTTTTCGGGTGAATGTTATCGGACCCGGGAGAGCTGTGTGGACGCAAGGATAGCAGCTTTTGCAGCACCATTTCTGCAGTGAACGTGACGTTGGATAAAACGGGCGGTGGGGTAACAAGTGGCGGAATATACGTCGAGGCTTGTACACCTTGGAAGATTTGGGGAGTACTGGGCCCGTAATGCGTTGGCCGCCTCCTTCGCAGTATGTGTATACCCAATGGTCGTATTAAGTGGTGGGATTCCCGTTGCACCTTGCGAAGTCCATTCCCATGTTTGTAAAGAAGCTTTTTGTTCGAACAGAATCGTTTGGCTAGCTCCTGCTGATGCGTTCTCTTGTCTTCGCGAACCAAAAGCACACAGTAGTTGCGATGCGAAACGTATTCCGTCCAGTTTTCTGCGCTGGGGTTGCTTTTATACGTGCGCCATGCCCGATCCCTTAGAGTCATGCATTTTCGCGTCCGGCTTCGCAAGAATGATTTCGCTGTGCGGGGATGTTGGGAAACTTTTGGTGTTGAGGCTTCTATGACTAGTGACGTGATGGTGTTCGCAAATGTCTCCCAGGCTAGTTCTGGGGTGCAGTTAGCTAGAAACGTCCAACTGGTATTCTCAACTAAGGCAGACAGAACGTGGTAATGGATAACAGATTGCCTCGTTTCGAGCTCCGCAGCTGGATATTTGGCGTAGCAGATGTAATCGAACTGCAAAGTCACGTGATCGCTACGGCCCAAAGGACTGCACACCTTTAGTCCATCGACCATGAGCTCTTCGTTAGTGAGCACTAGATCTAATATCGATGGGTTGTTTCCTGTTCTGAACCTGGTTGGAACGGTGACGTGGTTATACAAGAAGGTGCTAGAGAGTAGCTCTTGCAAATATGCCTTGAACACCTCTGTCTCGGATGCTGGATTTTCCAAGTCATGGGTGTTGAAATCTCCTGCAACGAGGCGGGGGGGGGGGGGTGGGGGGGGGGGGGGGGGGGGAGGGGGGGGGGGGGGGGGGGGAGGGGGGGGGGGGGGGGGGGGGGGTGGGGGGGGAGGGGGAGGGGGGGGGGGGGGTGGGGGGGGGGGGGGGGGGGTGGGGGGGGGGGGGTGGGGGGGGGGGGGGGGGGAGGTTGGGGGGGGGGGGGGGGGGGGGGATGGTGGGGGGGGGGGGGGGGGGGGGGGGGGGGGGGGGCGGGGGGGGGGGGGTGGGGGGGGGGGGAGTGGGGGGGGGGGGGGGGTGAGGGGGGGGGGGGGGGGGGGGGGGGGGGGGGGGGGGGGGGGGGGGGGGGGGGGGGGGGGGGGGGGGGGGTGGGGGGGGGGGGGGGGGGGTGGGTGGGGGGGGGTGGGGGGGGGGTGGGGGGGGGGGGGGGTGGGGGTGGAGGGGGGGGGAGGTGGGGGGTGGGGGGGGGGGGGGGGGTGGAGGGGGGGGGGGGGGGGGGTGGGGGGGGGGGGGGGGGGGTGGGGGGGGGGGGTGGGGGGGGGGGGGGGGGGGGGGGGGGGGGGGGGGGGGGGGGGGGGGGGGGGGGGGGGGGGGGGGGGGGGGGGGGGGGGGGGGGGGGGGGGGGGGGGGGGGGGGGGGGGGGGGGGGGGGGGGGGGGGGGGGGGGGGGGGGGGGGGGGGAGGGGGGGGGGGGGGGGGGGGGGGGGGGGGGGGGGGGGGGGGGGGGGGGGGGGGGGGGGGGGGGGGGGGGGGGGGGGGGGGGGGGGGGGGGGGGGGGGGGGGGGGGGGGGGGGGGGGGGGGGGGGGGGGGGGGGGGGGGGGGGGGGGGGGGGGGGGGGGGGGGGGGGGGGGGGGGGGGGGGGGGGGGGGGGGGGGGGGGGGGGTGGGGGGGGGGGGGGGGGGGGGGGGGGGGGGGGGGGGGGGGGGGGGGGGGGGGGGGGGGGGGGGGGGGGGGGGGGGGGGGGGGGGGGGGGGGGGGGGGGGGGGGGGGGGGGGGGGGGGGGGGGGGGGGGGGGGGGGGGGGGGGGGGGGGGGGGGGGTGAGGGCACCAAAGGACGTCGGTGACACAAGTCTGGGGATCGTCTATGAGCTCACAACGAAGGTTCGTTCGGAAATAAATGAGCACACCACCGCCCTTGCCCGTTCTGTCGTTCCGGAGAAGTGACATACCCGGTATGGCAATCTCAGCGTCTGTGATTTCGCCGCTCAGCCAGGTTTCGGTGATCATTATGATGTCTCGAGGCTCCGAAGCCAAACGGTGACGGAGTTCTACCAACTTACTTATGAGGCCTTGTGCATTAGTATACATGCAGGATAGTGCTTTTGTAACCAAGAGTGAGCTAGCACAGGTTGTGGTAGAAATGGAGTTTGTGCCGACCGTTAACGGGTCGGCCATTAACCTTTTTTTTGTGGTGACGTTTGCCTTTGAGTTTGCTTTCGGTTAGACGACTGATCGCGGCCTTCCGGGCCCTGCTGGTCCCCCGTGTTCAGCCGTGTTTCGTGAGATATTGCGGTTGTTGATAAATCCATGCCTTCACAAAGTTGCATGAGTGGATGGTTCAACAATTTGATCGCTCCCCGTGAGTCGTTGGTAATCCGTGGCAGCGTACCTGATGCCTTTAACCGAATTTCAGCTGGCAGCTTCATGCGGAATTTGGACCAGTTTTCCAAGGCGAGCGGTAACATAAACTCAGATTGAAGCACCACCTTCATAAGTCTGGGACCGTTTCCTTTGTAGTTGGGTGAAAATGGAATCCTGGTCAACCGCTTAGCGATGATATTATTGAGGGAGATTTCGTGGCGGATGTAACTCCATTGCTCCCGGTCATGTGCATCCGCTGCATCAGAGGTTGTATTTTGGAGCTCAGGAACCCCGTACACAATTATCGTCCGTTTCGCCTCGGCTTTACGAACTTCTTCGCGGTTGCTCATCTTTTTCGGACGTTCGTTCCAGGGGATATCAGGAAGTATACGCGCCTCGAGTGATGAATGACAAAGCCTGTTGGACGATAGTAGAACTGCCTCTGTGTCCTTGATGGAGTTTAGTGTCACCCGGAGAAGTCGGGGTTCACCGTAGTGCGCTGAATTTGGATGACGTGTGACTCGTCTCAGCATTGCAGGTTCAACCGAAATGCCAATCGCAGTACATATAGACTTCCACTGATTACGATCATCCAACAGCTTCCCCTTTATTGTACTCGCCTGTGATTCAGGAACATTTGTACACACAACGGTTAAAGCGCCTTGGCTCCTTGCGTTGGATGCAGCTTTGCCATGACTTAAAGACACGGTGTTAAACGGATTGTTTGGTTGTTGGAGTCTGGTCAACTTACTGTTGCTTGGTGAGGCCACCGGAGTCGGAGGTAATTTAGCCGGTGTATGCATTGAGGCGACTGAGGCGTACGACGCCCGACTTTTCTCTACGGCGGAAGAGGTCTGCCCCGGAGCTTCCGCGGTTGCTGTTGAATGGAGGTGGGGCGTGTGACTCAAAGGTGTGGACATCAGTACTCTGGATGTTCGTCCGCTTTTCGGAGTTGAGTGAGGCAAGGGATTTGGAGAAACTGAGGCTGCAGCGCGACTTGAGCGTCTAGCCCTTTTTTTCGGCCTCGAGGTGGAGCTTTCTTTGACCGACTGTGGTACAATCATGGCCATATTCGCGGCCGGTGGTGCAAGCCTGGCGTTCAACAAATAAGCGATTGTCGCATTCAAAGTATCACACCTTTCCATGAGTGCACATAAACAACCGACCACTGGAGTTAACTGGCAAGTTGGACAAAACCAAAATGCGTCAGTAGCCTTGTTTATTTAACTTGCTTCTTGTGCGGACTTTCCTATACAGCTCGGATGGAACGAGCCACTGCAGTTTCGGCACGTTATACCCATTTTAAGGGCTTTGCCGCAATTAGCTGAAGAGCAGATACGTCGTTGCATGATATTCGGCATAGTTGTTGTATTTTTTTCAAGCATGAGGACAAGCAAGATGTCGATCAGAAATTCCAAAATGACGGGCACAGCAGTAAATCACTGAGATCTCCGAAGATATCAAGCGGAATTCCACGAAACTTTCACGGATTGATGAACACACGAAACTAAAAAGTTTGGTGCACAACTAACACAGCAACACACATAAAATACAGTAATTCCAGAGAAAAAGCAGGATCCAGGCTCATAAACGAGGAATTGGCCGGGCTGACCGGTAGGTAAACTTTTGCAGACCACCGGGATAGTAGATCAAGGTCCTGCTGAAGGACGTCACAATAATCCTCCAAATCTTCAGGTCATCGCAATGAATACGCGGGGCGATCGAAGAAGCTGAGGTATTTCATTGATGTGGATCAAGAATAAAATGGGCCCGAGTACTGTGCCTTGGGGTACGTCGCTAGTGGACGGGTCCCCTTTCCGTTAAGTGGTCATTCACCTGAACCCGCCATCTCCCAAGAAAGAAGTCACTGGTGCAGTGCACCACCAACACCACACATCCTCAGCTTGTAGAGCAGAACCTCATGATCCACTTTCTCGAAAGCTTTATTGAAATCAATGTACATAACATCCACTGACTTCCCCGATTCAACGCTCGTAACCATTCCTACTGTGTCAACAGCAGGTTGACGATGCATGAGCGGCCCTTCGTCAAGCCGTGCTGTACCAGCGTTAGGAGATCTTTCGACTCCAGCAGCTAGAGAAGACCCATTTACACAATCATCTCGAGCACCTTCGCTAAAACAAAGGTGAGACAAATCAACACGTAATTGTCCATATTGCGTAGATCACCACCTTTTCGAATCGGCTTTACTACCAAGCATTTCCAGTCGCTCGGCAATGCACTCTCGGACAGCGATTTGTCGAACAGATCCGTCACCGCAGGCGAGACGATGGCCGATAAAAACTCCAAAATTAGCATGTGAAGTCCATCAAATCCAGCATGTTTTGTGCCATCAAGATTGACGACTAGACAGTGGACATCCTCTGCACCGCAATCAAATCCCTTAACTTCGGCATAGGAGCATGCACACTTGAATATAGGGAAGTGAAGTCCTCCGCCAATGCCGTCGCCACGAGACTGGACCTTAACGTGGTGCGACGGTTTGCGTATCTCGTTGACCCATTGAGCTATATTGGGTGGTGCCTCCGGGCACCTTGAGAGTTAATCCTACCACGTTGATCAATAATGAAGACGTTAGGCAAATTCAATCTCCTGGTCCTTTAGGTTGGGTGTTTGAAATGGTATGGCGTCATTTTCTGTAAAACTAAATCATTGCCACCTCTCCTTGGCTCTGCGGACAGGCTTTTAAGCCGAAGGACACTAATCGTCCTCCTGTCTATGTCTGGGCGCCCTGGCAGTATCCCAGCCCACATATAACCATGACCTTCTATTCACACACCTCAAAATATCATCTTGCATCGGCCGTCGCGCAGCTTATCAAGGGTCACCTTATCTGCTGCATACAGCAGAACGGATAAATGAAAAGATGCTACTGTTGGCGCCTCCCTTCTTTCTTTTCCACCTGTTTTTATTACTCCCATCCCGACCCCCATTACTAACCTTCCTTCTATAATTCTCAGCTTAATTGACAGCAACCGAAGTGCCACTGGAGTAGAACCATCTGCATCCACCTCGCCACACGCACCGGACAATTATCAGCAATAGTCCCTTATAAAGCCACACTGTCCCGTTTCCATGGCGACGTACAACGTTCGCACTCTAGGACAAATAAGTCAAAAGGCTGCACTCGCACGCGCCTTGGACACATTGGGTATTGATGTGTGTTGTGTGTCCGAAATTAAGATAAATGATCTTAATGGGGTTGTTGAAATAACTGCACCCGGTTATTAGTTGCACGCATCTGGAGACGCCGATGCAACACTCACAGGTCAAGCTGGTGTAGGTGTCATACTAAGCTCCAAGGCTGAGCCATCGTTGGTTGATAGGATTCCGGTAAACAGCCGTTTATGTGCAGCCCGTTTGACGACATCAGCCATGGTTGATTCACGAAGTAGTACATAGCGCTGTTTGATTGTGATTTCCGCTTATGCCCCCGCCGACTGCAGTTCAAATGCTGTCAAGGACACATTCTATCACGAACTGAACGCCATACCATGCAGCGCTACTAGTTCAGATATTATAGTACTTGCAGGGGATATGAACGCACAAGTAGTTCTCTGGTCTGGTAGAATGTCTTGGCAATCATCATCATCGACAGCAGTACATCGGCCATCTTAACTGATGCTTCGCTGCCATACAACCGTGACGACCTATGGAATAAAGAATAAGAGGGAGAGAAGGGGGACTTAACTGAAAACCTTAATGCCCTAAGCGAACATTCAGGGCAAAGGCGCCTACACCTTGTGTAGACAACATTCCGTCACAAACATCTGGCTATCGTGCAAAGATAAGGCGGCATCGGTGAGACAGCTTCCTTGCGGCTTTCACTGCCACGCGTCATAACCAGCCATTACCCCGCAGATAACTCAGCACCAAACACACTAAACAGACAATCCGATTAGGAGTCGGCAGCAGACGCGCCACTGGTGTCGGTTGCGAGCCATGTCATGTGAAGTCTCAAGCTAAGCACAAGGCGAGTCACGTGGACTCCAGTCCGAAAGACAAGACTGACCAACAGTACCCAGTTTGGTCGTCAGTGACTTCATTTTCCGCTGCCAAGTCAACTTCTGTCCACCTCGAGCCTTGCGCCACTCTACACCCGGCAGACTAAACAAGGCCCTCCTAGGTAAGCGGTGACCAGACAGCGTAGCACGTACCCGAGCCAACGCAACTTATTCAGTGCTATCTGTTGCTCTAGGGAGCTAGCATGATTATCACTACCTAGTACTCGCCTGCGCACATAATCATTGCGGAGAAGCTGGTGCCATCCGACACTAGCAATACTTCGCAGACAACGATGATCAGACCGAAGGGGCCAAGTTTCACTACCATAGAGCAGAACGGCCCTCATTGGAGCCTTGTATGCACGGCCTTTCAAACAGAGGAAAACTCCCTTCTGTCGCCAATGATGCATCAGGTTCAAGAAGGCAGCTCTGGCCTTTGCAATGCGTGAACTGACGTC